ATATAAAAAATGTTTTTTCTCGGGCGAATATCGCGAAATGCAGCTGATGAGTACTTTAGCAGGATTGATAATTTAAAAAATTTCTTACTCAGCCTGTCAAAACATGCTCGAGTACTAAATTAAAAAAAGAGGCCGAGACGATATTATATGTTTATATCAATTATCTGCGTCATTACACGATACGTTTTATTCTGCGAAGTTCACAAAAGGCTGGGTGCCCACAAAAACCAAACAGTGAGTTGTAAACTCGCGAGTTCATCTGTTCTGGCCGATTCAGAATATTGCTAACCAAGCTGTCGATATGCTTCCCCCCTTTACATCACATGTCAATTTCTTTATTAGTTTGTTTTTCTGGGAACTGGTGTCATCGGGTACGGTTATACACGATGGTAATCTTCCCTGTACATCAGTCGGGCGTTTCGAAACCGACCATAATCAGATATATCAAAGGAGTTGGTAAAAGGAGCCCACAATTTAAGCTAAAATACACCTCGTAGCCATCGAAGTGGCTCAATACTACTGTTTCATTGGTTGTGTGCTACCAGGAGAATAATTGTATCGCAAAGCTAAGCAAAAACAGCGTAAAACAGCAACATAGCCGCGCTCACGTTCAAACCGAAACCAACCAAATTGAAGCAACCTAATGGCGCCGAGTGTGTCAGCGCCCTCTGTCCGCCGGTGAGGCAACTACTAAAATGAAACGGTCTATACGCTAGCGGATCGAATCGAGTGCTCGAGCGAGGGATTACGGGAGCTTCGCTTCGCCTGCCGCTAGGCAAACCGGTCACCTCGAAAACAATCTGAAGGTCACGAGGTTTGCGTTGTGATCCTTCGACACGAGGTGCCGCTGCTGGTCGATCCGAATTTATGTAAACTTAGTGGTAGAAGTGGATCCGATTCGCTAGCTGGATCCGATGCGCTGCTGTCGCATCCATGTAAACGTAGCCATAGTGTCTCGTCCTGGGGCCCTTATCTGGACACTTGGCGAAAAAGTTGGCGATGGCCTTGGCTGTAGAGTTCCGGGTAGCGGAGTGGCTTAGGGGAGGGGGAAACACGGTCTACTAAAACTCGCTATTATCTCGCTTCTAGAAGGCGAAGCAAGCTTTCGGCTACCAGCTAATTCCGTTCGTCCTCCATCCTTTTTTTTTTCTTTTTTCATAGAGTTACCAATCACAAGGCTTGAACGAACGACTGCGTTACTGCCCCCTCCCCACCCTCCTCTTCCACCTCTGCTTTTTTTTTTTTTTTTTCTGGCAGAGTGTGACAGCGGGGGTGGGGGGAGAGACGTTTAAAACAGTGGACAACTAATGGCGAAGTGATTCGCTCGTTTCTCTAGTTAAAAAAAAAAAAAAAAAAAAAAAAAAACTGTCTTTGTGGAATTTTTTATCCTCGCACTCCCCCTCGCTGCCTGAAGGTTCCTGACCCGCTTTTGTACACAGAAGCATTTTTCGCTTCATTAGTCTTTACTTCACTAGGGTCATAAAAAAAATTAAAAAAAAGTTTTAAACCTGGAAAGACAACTTACAAACACGAAACCTTTTTTTTTTTTTTTCACACAAACTAGAGCTACTTTCTAAAAAATCCTCTGCGTCTACTTTCCCGCACAACACTCGAAGAGCCAATCACCGCAAATTACGGAGTCAGCTCAGCGAATGACAATGCTTAAACATATCTTTAGACCAAAAAACGCAGTCCGAGTTGTGACATTAAGCAATGCAAGCGTGACGTTTCGCACTGCTTAGTGTCACAACTCAGACTACGTTTGTTGGTCAAAACATTTGGTTCGGCATCGTCATTCGCCCAGCTGCCTCCGTAAGTTGTGCTGATTGGTCTCCGAGTGTTGTGCGGGAAAGTAGACGCACGGGATTGTTTTAGAGTGTATATACTGCTGGTAGGAGGCAGCAAGTGATTATAACCAGTGTTCTGGAAACCGGTGTCCTGTTCCACATAGTGAAGTAAATCAGACTCTGGTAATAGTATGAACCAGACTTCTACTAAAATCGGCGTAAAGGTGAGGGGTTGTTTGGCGGTTTGTGTTCCAGCAGTCCCCGTTCGCATGCTGTAGTTTATAAAAGCCGATTGACTACCATCTCCCACTCATTCTACGCGTGAGATGAACATGAATAACGAAACTCCGTCGCTATGGCCAGGATTGAAGGAAATGTATCAACTAAAGGAGACGGAATCACATAATTTACAGTTTCAATGCCTACTCTGCATGCCGAAAATTAAGCTGCTTCGCGCATCAAATACGTCTAGTTCTAACTTAAAAAAGCACATCAAGGTGAGTACGTTTCTCGATTATAGTTAGTTTTCTCTTCAGCCCGCTTTTCATAATGTTCACAAATCGCGGGTATTTTTTAGAACTTGCTGTTGCTTCACTGCCCTCGTTGCTTTATGCCAGTGCTAGCGCTCCCAGAACTTCTTAATAAGTTCTTTAACGCATTCCGCAAACATATCGACCATGGTTATAATCTAATATATTAAGCAGGTTGGCTAATATTGAATAGTTTTCTATTTTACAAGACCGAAGGCATGTTTGTAAGCGAACACATCTCTGTTAAACATATGTACTCGAACACAAAAGTAACGTAAAAGTAACGTTCATTATTTTTTAAAAGTAACGGTAACGGTATATCGTTACGTTTGTAAAAGAGTAGCGTAGCTCAATAACGCGTTAATTTTTACCAAACTAGCGAGTAACGCTATTTCGTTACTTTTTTTCGGTAACGGGCACAACACTGTGTTGAAGCCATGAAACTCGAATTACTCCCACCTCGTGATGACACGTGGTGGTTGCACACATAACGAGCGGAGCTCGATGCCTTTACAGGTGCGTAAGGTTCCCATAGCGCAAAATATTTCTGAACTTCCCAGAAAAATATAAAAACCGGTCAAGTTCCTGCAACCGACAGCCTCGAAATTCGGCGAGTGTCATTGGATTTTATCGAGTTTATCCCAAGACGCAGAAGCCACGTTGGCGCTATTTTTCTGGGACCATTTTTTCCTAGTTTGTACTTGGGACCACTAGTTCCGGGACCATTTGTTCCGGGACCATTTGTTCCGGGACCATGTGTTCCGGGACCATTTGTTCCGGGACCATTTGTTCCGAAACCATTTGTTCCGTTTCCCGTTTTTTTAGTATAACAGAAGCCCGCACCAAGCGTCGGTAAAAGAGAGGGCTCGTGTTTTATGACCCCCACGGCGAATCGCGACCTCCCCGCGGCTCCCCCCCCCCCGCGGTTCCCTGGGAAGGGGCGCCGTGCCTCGGTCTCGGCTCGTCTTCGAAGTCGTTTGCCCTTCCTTCTTCCCGACTCGAGAATCCCCAAGTCGTCTTCTTTTTATTTTACAACTGAGACAGCTCAACGGAAACTTTCTGGCCTGATAAATATAGTTCAGGTGTTTCACTGAATTCGCCTTTCCCGTACATTCGCCGGCGCCTGTTGTTTCGACCACGAACGGCTACCGGTACTTACGACTAACACATGATCGTATAGACCTTTTCTCTGTACTCTCGTCCTCAGCCACCTAATAGGCGTATCCGGTATGGGCAACGAAAAATTACTAAAACGTTTCAGCCTGCAACTAGTAAAAAAATAAAGGGGAAGCAAAACGAGAATGTGTGACGGTTACGCTTATCTCCTAAGTGTCTTCTACTGGTGTGGCGGCGGCAAAACAATGTTTTCGCCCATATTGGAAGTGACGACAATTCAAAATGGCGGCGCCCTTGAAAAGAGGGTCTATAGGTGTAGCACACACATTAGGTCATACTTAATTATAATTAACTATTATCTTTGGCGCGTCATCGAGCTTCCAGGTTTTGCCGGCACCCCACCACCACCGGCTCATTTTGCCTATAGGCTTAACGAGCCTCAAGGCGAGCGCATCGTCGGAGCAGTCCAGGTCCACGCACACACTCGCCCAGTGGAGTGCTTGAATGTTAACTATGCACACCAAAACGGGAGCACGAAGACAGCACATGACACACGTCACACGGCAAGAACGGCAGCTTCAAATCGCAGAAATGAGCATCTCGCGCACTCCGACTGGCCCCGAAATCCGGATTCGCGAATGGAGCGTTCGCGCGAGAGCTTCTGGATAACCACCGTCACCGGTCTGCGGTCGTCGACGACGCGACGCGCGCTGGGCTACGCTCCAGTTCGTCGTGTTGCGCGTGACGACGGAGTGCAAACCCCCGTTCGCAGTCAGCGTCGGCCAACGCTACGCTCGTCGACGTCACGTCGGAGCATCAACAGCCCTTAATATATGACAGTTTGCCGCATCCGCGACAAACTGCGACTCTCTGAAACAGTATGATGGACATCGTCGCTCAAATCCCTAAACTTGTAAATTGTCATGCTTGACTTCGGAACTGCCTGGCTTCGTCGAGAGATCCAGACGTAGCCGGCTGCTTCCACTACGTCTACGTGCCAAGCCTGTGCCATTGGTTGATGCCTTGCAAGCAAGGCGGAAGCGCACCTTGCGCAGCACACTTTTTATTGTGCAGTATGTTACGCTGTAAAAGGTCTTCTGGCAGGGCGTAAAAGGCAAAGCTACCTGAGAGCGTTTGCCTGGAACGCGACGAGTATCGCGCACCCTGCTCATTCTCGGGACCGCGAGGTAGAGCAGCGAACGGCTGATTGGCACACTTGTCAAGATGGCAGCGTGGCTCCTGCTGGCAATCCGCCCCCGGGTTCCTAGCGCGCAGCTAAATTGATTGTACTTACTGCCTTTCGACAAAGTTCTCAATCTTAATAATCGATCAATGTTTCCGCATAGAGTAGTTCACATATAGTCATTGTTTGCATATTACCGACTTGCAGAGATATTTAAATTAACATGTAAATATTTCCTCAAGTCTGTTAAAAACCGACCGGGCATGTTAGCCAACTTTGTATGTAGGGTTTATTTATTTATTTAACTATGGTGCTACGTTTGACTTTTGAGAAAAGTTAGCATACGCGGGAGCTGATGTTCACTTCTCTTTTTTTTTTTTTCAGTTGACGAAGCCAAGAGGGCTTGGAAGCGGCTCAGGGACCGGTACGTCAGGGAACTCCGCGTCTTGGAAGAAGCCACGAAAAATGGAACTGACTGCATACGCAAGAAGCACTTGGGCTTTCTTGAAGTCATGAGTTTCTACAAGTGCCATGCTCGACCAAGAAAGTATGTCAACAGTTTTGCACTTTTCTACTCAGTGTCTAGATTTGTGGTACGAATACGAGAGGTATGTTGTCATGATAGTTATTTATCTTGATAGGATATAACACATTACGTTCCAAGAGAGTAAAGCAACTTTTATCCTTGTTTAGTATTAGTCAGTATTATAGTCAAGATGTTAGTTTTTAGCCTTTTTGTTTTATACAAACAACCCACTTTTAGGGAAAGAAGATTATTATCTATATTTGTATTTAATGTTGACCCACAATACAACCCCCACTTTATTGTTGCAACCGTAACTTGTCGTGTTTTAAGTGGCCCATTCAGCGATCCAAGTTTGACTGGTCGTGCCTCTGTAAAGCTAGCTACCCACGATCGGAAACCGCCCAAAGGAAACCGACGAAGTTGACAACAGCTCGTGGGACCATACTGTCCGGGCGTTCAAAGATGGTGGCGGCGGTTTACTCCCTATGGAGGCCTCGCGTATCTGTTTCCCTGCTCTCGGTTGGATCGTCTATACGCGTCGGTGAACGACGGAGGAATGCTTTCGACCGCCTGGACTCCTTCGAACATGGCACCGAGATCTCGGTTATACGGCACCCGCTCCGTAGTAAACGCCATCAGATTTCAGGCAGCTCGGCAGAATTCGAACCCGCCAAGTGGGGATCCGTAGGCCGGCACTTTGCCTTGGAACCACCTAGGCAGCATCGTGTAAACTTATTTCGGATGTTGTCTCACGTATGAACTTCTTTCTCGCATCTTTATTTTCTCACTATACCATAAAATGCAGAGCTAACGCATCCACTGAAAAGTTTCAGATAATCGTGACAAATTGAAGGATGGGCACTCGTAAAGTCCGCGGGCGAAAATGCATAGAGAAGCTGAGACACAAGGTGATGTGCAGGCACTTGGGACAGTGCGTGCCCATCGAGCTTCATTGCACTGCACTGGCGCGCTCAGAGAAGGAGCTCACCGTGTCTAAAAATAGAATAAAGCCGTGTTGTATAGCTTAATTAAATGTTTTTGCCTTCTGTTCGGAACCCAGCAAAACAGCGAGCCACGTGAGAGCGCCGTCGGAATGCGGCACACCGGAGGCATTCAACATGGACATGATCGAGTGGTCGCCGGAGGACTCGACCATTCTCACGGGCACTCAGCCCGGTGAGCTGGACGACCCGGAGAGCCTCGACGCTACTGACGCCCCTATGCCGGCCAGCTCCAGCTCGAGACCACCGATGCCCGGACCAGGACCGGCGACGACCAGGCAGGCAAAGAGGGTCAGGCCCGCCGACCCCGTGGAGCAAGAGCTCCTCGGCCACCTCAGTAGGCGAATGTCAGAGAACGAAGCATTTGGATACTCTATAGCCCAGTCTTTAGATCGCTGGGACACTATAACCAGTGCACGCTTTAAATCGGCAGTAATGCAGTTGGCTCTCGAATCTGAAATTGAGTTTCAGAAGAAAAATAAGTAAAAACTGTAAAGTATGACATCTCGAATTAACCCGAGGCTAGGCCGAATGTTGGAAATGGAAAACCACGAACAATGTCTCGAGTACGGCTGCTACTTTGTTTCAAAAGGGTATATCTTGCATAAAACGTTGTAGTAGCTGTGCTTAAGGAATTATTTGAGGTTGTCGGTTTCTTTATTTGTATAGGTCTCGGGTTAATTAATGATATCAAACAGTGACTTGCCTGTATTTTTGTCATCTGGTGGGATTTTGTGTTGTGAGCCACTGATGCTTTGTACAATATCTGCAAGGCGTTCTTTTCTTTCTTAATTGATGTGTCATTTTATTATTCTATGGGCCTTTAACCTGGACACTTGTCAGAAAAGTCAGCAAGGTATTCGACAACCGTGATTGGCCAGCACCATGGTCGAGCGTGGCGCCGGATTCCTCGACGATTTTTTGTCAAGTGACGAGGATAGTGCCCAAGGGATGACTGTTTAGTTTTCATTAGTCTGATGTTCTTATTTATGCAGTCCTTCCATTCTCTCTGCTCAAGTGTTGATGTGTTTTTCTTTTTTTGTAATTCTTTCATTTTTAGTGCTCTGGTATAGCTTTTTTGGGGGGACGTGTTTTAATTATCAGTGCGCTAGTGCTCGTTTTATGCAGTACTATGTTTGTTCCTTTATAAAGCATCAAATGCTTTTCAATGCAACCCTCCCTCAATCTCAAAATGTTGTCCGTCTATTCGTCCGTGCATTCTACTCTAAATTTAGCGGGTAAAGTGGCACCACGTGATGTCACGTGACCTACGACCTTGACGAAGTTGACGGCACGTGACCTATACCTCAACTCAGTTTCCCCGCTAAATGTAGCGGGAAAATTCACGTCTTGTGGCCAAGGCATCAATTCGGTTTCCCCGCTAAACTTGGCGGAAAATTGACGTCACGTGACCTCTACAACAATTCAGTTACGCCCTAAATATAGCGGGAAAATTCACGTCTCGTGACCTAGACATCCATCTATAGTCGTAGACAGGTCAAGAACGAAGGGAAAGCTCCTACCAACTCTTTCCACTTTAGCAGAGCGAACGCTGGAGCCTCCACTCCAGCGCTCGCTCTGCTAAAGTGGAAAGAGGTGGGAGGAGCTTCCACTTCGTTGTTGACCTGTCACCGACTATAGTTTTCGTGCTAAATTTAGCGGGGCGAAATCGGCGTCACGTGACCTACACGACCATTCAGAGTCTCCGCTAAATTTAGCGGGAAAATATTTGTCACCTGACACACCAAAGTGCCTCACCCCACCTCTCTCCTCCCTTCCCTCTCCTTCCCCCTCCCTTAAACACCTCCTAGATAAGTGATGCTGCTCCCAGGGAGTTTCACAGCGTTTCGTGCATTATATTACTTTCCTTTACCTGCACTTTTGATGCCGTCCAACTGGCGTTCTTCTTTAAGCCACCGAGTGCCCAAACGGTTCGTCCTGACTGCACTGGTTCGTGTGATGTACGGGGAGGTGCCCCCTCTGCAGGCCGTGTTATGCAGAAAGAAACTGGGGGAGGGAATGATACTAAAGCGCACGGGGAGGTTAGAATACCGAGCTGTGATTGGAACGATTAGGGGGTACAAGCGTAGCAAGCTCCCTCTGTTTTTTTGTCTCTTCAAATCCCAAAAGCCAGCTTTCAGAATTCATGTTCGAACAGTGAGTAGAGACAGAGACAGCTACAGCTTTGCGTCTATACCCACTAATCATTCATATCAGGGTTCGATGCGTTGGCATCCTCGCACTCTACCATCTCTCTCTGTTTCTACACATGTTGCCTTTTTAATGGTCAGAATAAAAAGTGTCATCTATGCCCATCACAAAGTGGACATAGTCTGTTCGAAAACAAAACAAGTGTACCATAATTCCCAATGTATAGGACTCTTTTTTTGTTGTTGTTGTTGTTGTTCTGTGTGCAGTTTAAAGAACGGTGCGACTTGTAAGAAGGCACGATAGATAATGGAACAGGTTGGCAGCCTTTGACGAAGGATGCTTGCTTTGGTTTGACTTGTTTAGGATTAACTGGTTCAACGCGTCATTTTTCGTTGCGCTCCTTTTCCTACGTAATTGGAAGCGGCGTTGCCTTTTCCAAGAGGCGCTGCAGTCTTTCTTTTCCACCGCGTTTGAAAGGCATGCAGAGACCGGAAATACCGCAGGTAGTCTTTCCCTTATACCTCGGCACAATATGGCAGCTTCCTGTTGAGGTGCTCAGTTTATTATTGCGGGCTAGTTTCTTTTTTAAAATAATACTGAAAACTGCTCCTGCTTGTAGATATATTGCGAGGACAGTTACGCATGCATTTATCAACGTGGTTTCGCGATGCAAAAAAGTGTGACTTATACAATGGTGCGATTTATGTACCAATCGTTCCGGGAAAAGGTATCAATATAGGGCACTGCGATTTATGCGACGATGCGCCTTGTAGTTTATAAAATAATATGTTTATATTTGTATTGCTCCACAACCAGAACTTGACCTAAGAAAGTGATGCACAACATGAAACAAGAGAGATCATTTTAAAAATATGCATACACTGATAGGGAACAGCAGAAGAGCAAAAGGAATATACCGAGCAAGAACACATTCAAAATTTTAACGTAGTCTCGAATAACTGGGGGACGGCCACTTGAAAGTGTACGTGGGGGTGGAGGTGCAAACTAGCAGCGTTACTCAATTCCAGTTGTATCCTTATCGGTGAGACATGGCAACTATAAAAAGTCTTTGCTAAACACTGGCAAAGCACGGAAACACTTGAGAATCATCTTCTGCGGGGAATTAAACCGGTTGCCAGTTTCCTTTTATTTCTTTATTTATTTCATAATGCTATCAGTCCCCCGCAGGGACTATGATAGAAGTGAGTAAAATAAACAATGTAATAGGCATGCAGAAGACAATGACAAAAAATGAAGGACTCTACGACACCTAATACGCATATCAAAAAGCACAAAAGTACGAAAAAAATGGTAACATAAAGTCTATTGGTTACAAGGGAGGCACTTTACACAATCCGTAACCGTTCTGGATTTAATTACGCTTTCAGGCAGCTTATTCCACTCCCTTATCGTCCGAGGGAAATACGAATTCTTGAAACATTCTTTGTTGAGTCTGTACTCTTCGATTGTCCACATTTCTTCTCGTAATCTTCTCTCCCTACAGGAACGGGCCTCCGAGCTATTCCCCGCAGAAAAGAGGAGAGTCTCCCTCTTTCTAAAATGAAAAGGAGGAATTGAGCTTCCTCCTCTTTGTTTATTGGTCAACCTTTAACAGAATAGGTGCCAGCGTAAAATGGTGCACCAAAATGTATTTATACGTAAATTTACCATGGAAAATATCGGAAAGGCATGCAAACGTCTTGAACGATTACTGCTAAATATATCTAAAACCTACTGCGCAACCCTATCTGATAAAGCTGTATAAAACCTTAGAAAACAATCTATCTAAAAGCAAGCCCAGAACCATAAAAAAGCTTGGGGAAAACGTTTCTTTCAGCATATTTCGCTTTAAGGAAACAGAATACAAGTGAAAGTGTACAATGGTGGAAAGGGCCAACGAAGCCGCAGGAGCGTGCGGTCTCGATCTACACACACACGCCATACTGGCGGCGGAGACGAACCACACGAGATGGGCGCCGGCGGGTTGCGAAATGAGCGGCTATCAACATACGGCTACCCTGCCTTGCTACGTTTGGTATTAAATTGTTCGTCCCAGCAGTATGAATTAAAATAGTTCAGCGCTATGAAACATAGCAAGGTCGGACAGCCGGATGTTGATAGCCGCTTCTCTCGCAACCGGCTGGCGCCCGGTTTGTGTGGTTCCTCTCGCCGCTAGCACGACGTGTGTGCGTAGCTCTAGACCACACGCTCCTGTGGCTTTGCTGGCTCTTTCCACAACTGTACATCACAAAAAATGGAGAGGTAAAATATTACAGGAAGATCCATCGGTGCATTCTTCGGGCATGCGCTAGCATGACCCTGGGAAACACCACACACGTCCGTCTATTCCTCTCTCGGTGAAAGGACGCCTCAATCACGGCTTTAATGGGAAGGAGGCTCGTCTCCCAGGATGCACATGAGGTGCAGACGGCTGTGCAACGTGTGGGATGTCGAGGCTATTGACTTCGATTCCCTTACCAATGTTTGACTCTCTAAAGACGCCACCCTCAGATTGGCTTCCGGCTGCTCCAATGTTTACCATGGTGAACCGACACCTCGCGTCGACAACGGCCATCAATTGTACGGAATAAAACTTCTTATAATTAAAATTGACCGAGCCTGTGTTGGGGGGAGGGGTGTGGCGCATTTGACTGCAAAATGCTTTCTATCGATGGCCAGAATGGCATTTGTAAAGTTTTCACTAGGTTGCAAACTCTCCAATTGTGTTCCTATGTTTCATCCGTAGGCGCCTTGAGGTACAGAGGTGAAAGTATCGCTTGTGTGAGACTGTTCCGTCACATTGTTCATACAGAAGCTATCAGCAGACATGTTTGAAACATACATTTGTATGAAGCAAACATGCTCCAAACATGTTTAAGATATGTCCGCAAATAATTCGTCATCTTGCCTGCAGGAAACGTCGTGTCTTTTGTATGATGTATGAGCTGTACCTGTTACTGCGGCTTTACGAGTATCTGGGAGCAAAGTAGACTGAAATGAACACAGCTGCATTGAAGTGAATGCTGACCACTGGTCTCTATGACTAGTTGCTGAATCGCGTTTTCCCGCTACGCGAATGCGGCCACGGTCGGCCCATCTAGAGTTATATTACTTCTAGCCGCACCATAGTAGTTAGGTGATTGCAAGATCTCACCATGGAGGGACCTATAAGCTTCTGTGCAATACGCATGTGATGTTGCTGAAAGAATCCTTCAAGTGCTCGCGTTTGGCATACACCAGATTGCCGATAAAAATAAAATGATAGATTAAACTTTAATAAATAAATAGAGAATATTTTTGTTTTAAAAGTACCTCACATTGATTTTTTTTTTTTTTTTTTTTTACATAAAGATTATATTTTTAGAAGCAGGGGTAGAATATTACCTTGACGAGGTCTGTAGGCAGGTTGAACACAGTGGGTATTGCACCTTCCCTTAGGTGCAAAATTTCCCCTGTCCTGTCAAATCATTTTTTTAAGTAATACGAGCTGACCACGCTCGTCTCTGAAGGCTCCCAGTCCCACCTCTCGACGTTTTCCACCCACAGCTGAAGGGTCGCGGGGCGGCTTTGTGGAAACCTTGGGAACAAATAAATATTTATCATCAGAGGTATCCGTGCGTGCCAGGATAGCCACAAAACACTGAATAATTACCGATGGTAAGTTCTTGTCCTTTCGCGATCGGGGCGATTTGAACAGCGCGTCGCACAACATTACGGCATAGTTGACCATCCTCCGTCGCATCCACTGAGTTGAAGAATGTGCTTCGTCGAGCGACTTCAATCAAGCAAGAAATATCGTAAGCAGTGAGAGAGTGCAGACGAGCTGGTAAATAATTGACATCTTGTAAACCCTGAGATGGGGAACGATAATTGTTTTGTTGTGTTCGTCCGTTCTTTTTTTTATCGTTCCCCATCTCACGGTTTACAAGAAGGAATATCGCCCAAGTTACTTTGTACTATAAATCCACGGCTATCTTTATGGCAGCCTGCCGTCACAGCACAGTCCACCATATTACTATGACGGCTAGAGATAATATATCTCTACCGAAACGATAGCCGACCGTGGCCATATTCCTGTGCATAGGCGGAGCTGGGCAAACGCGATCCCGGCAAATAGTCATAGAGATCAGTGATTCTGACAAACAAAAATACATCGAATTATGACGCGAGATAAAATAGCTCCATGTACTAGATTTAGAAGAAGCGCCCATATATCAGGTGGCGACCCAACTTCAGCGAGTAATTCATTCAGGCTCAGGCTACCGACGCGTGTAGAAGAAGCCGTCGCTCCCCGGCCGCACAAAAGCAGTCCCGCAAGCCGTTAATTCGGGAAACCGCGCAGTTCGCGAAAAGGATTAACAGGATTGCCGGAACGGCTCTCCTCCCCCCCCCCCCCCCCCCCCCCCTCCCATTCCGATCCCAGCACGCGCACATAAAAGTGAGAAGGAAAACTAAAAGGGCGGATGGGAAGCCGAATCGAAGGCATGCAAAGAAAGAGTCCCAAACGCAGCGGGTTCCTGGGCTGACTCGTGCGCGATCGAAGACACGCGGCTAAACTGTTTCCTCCCTGCCGCGATCTGCTGCCAAACGCTAGGAGTGCCGAATGTACGAAACAGACGCCGGCAACGAAGTCACGTGAAACATCCTACTCAACTTATACCCTTCGCGGCGATCGCTAGGTCACGTGGTACTCTTCCCGCACCGGATTGGTTCTGAGGACTCGTAACGGTGATGGTGGTTCGTCTTCTTGCGCTCTGCAGCGGGTAGGGAGTGCAGTGGGGCGCACGGAGGCCGAGACCGCAATGATTGCCGATCTGGAATCGATGTAGTCTCGGGTCCCCCGGCCGCCAGCCGCAGGTCACGCACGACCGGGCCGTCGTTTGGCTGGCCGGAGTGCCCGCGTGCGTGCCGGAGGGGACCGCGAGAATCCTCGCGACATGCTCCATGCGGCAACGGCCGGATACCGCGAGGCGCTTCGTCGGAGGGAGTTTACTTCCGAGTTTCGGTCTTTGTTTTCCGGTGCAAAGGCCTCGCGCTCGTACTTCGTGGCCATGTTCGTCGATCCTTCGCAATTTCCTTAGATAAAACTTTTTTTTTTTCATTTTTTGCAATCATGTTAAATCTAAAGTCGGGGTCACACTCGTTAAGGCTCGTTCAC